CGGGTCTCCAAATTTTTATGTCATCGGTGAAGATTAGAACGGATGATTTTGCTACAGTTGGTATTTCAGTTACGTGAAGTAAAAAGAAAAGTGGACCAAGGATCGTACCTTCAGTAACTCCACTTTTTACAGGTACCCACGAGGAGAGCGCTCCATTAGCTTTTACCCTTTGCCTCCTGTCATGTAGAAAGTTACTTATCCAAGCTACAAGTGTATAGTGGATTCCCAAACGTTGCAGTTTGAATTTAAGACCCGAATGGGAGACCTTGTCGAAGGATTTTTTCCATTAGTTTTACAAACGAACTAGTTAAGTTAACGGGTCTATAGTTGCTAACTAAATCCCCACTCCCAGCTTCATACACCGGACTTATTATCGCATCTTTCCAGCCTCTGGGCAGTCAGGACTGCCTCAGAGATATGTCAAACAGTATCGCTAAAGGTTCAGCAGTTCCATGTGATATGGCTTTCATAATCCTAGGATGAATGTCATCAGGACCACTGGACTTATCAAAAGTGATGGAATCCCATCTCTTCTCTGAGTTCGGGAATAACCGTTTCGGACTATATCTACAATCCCTAACTGATCGGTTTTCAAATGTCGTCTAGTCTTACTTATTAACGCTTTGCAGGCATTCCTAATCTTACAATGGGTGGATCTGTATCCTTCTAAGCTAGTAGAGATGAACATATTCCAGTGCTTTTTCTTTCTTCTGAGAAGTTTCCTGACTAGTTTAGTTATACATGGTGGACTGTTATTCGGTCTACACAGTACCACGTATAGTATGAACGAGGATGATATTGAACTAACCTCACCTTTAAATACAGACCATGCTTCTTCAACTGATAAGCTGGTATCCACAAACTAATGTCTTATCAACGCACTCCTGAATGGCTAATATATTGGCTCTCCATACATTTGGGTGGGGTGTAACCTGATCGTATATCATGTCCCTAGTTCTAAACGTGAATGGCAAAACAGAGTGATCGCTGTCCACCAACGGTGGAAGAATATTTAGGTCGACAGTATCCTCAGTATCATGAGTGATTATCCAGTCCAACAGAGAAGAACCTTGGTTAGCATCAAAACGTGTGGATTTGGATACATGCTGCATTAATACATGCTCCGTTACTGTTATCAGGAACCTACCATCAAAGACGTTTATAGATACTTCCATGGTCATCTCAGTCCAACTAATAACAAGTGCATTAAAGTCCCCTATTATCAAGCATCTGTTATTTGCACTCCAAAGATGAATGTGCGCTAAAATAAAGTCGTCAGCTAAGCAGATTGGGCTGCTATAGATGACACAGAGCATAAATGTACCATGTCCGGTAGCCTATTCACAGCTAATGACTTCACAAGTACCGCCATCATGGGATTCACTAGCAGAGGAGCGAATGTTTATATCATTGGTTATATATAAAAGGACGCCAGCTCCTTTTCTACATCTATGTCTATCACCCCTTAGGTAAAGTTGTCCGGATAATTCTGGAGTAATGTCTAAGTCATGGACTAACCAAGTTTCTGTCACTGCTACAATGAGTGGCCTTAATTTGTCCGCTGGTACTTCTAGTTCATAGAACTTATTTCTTAGACTACGAGCGTTAACTTATGAAACTCCTAGGCAGAACAGCCTATTCACACAGGCCTTGGTAGCATTCGCTTCCAAGACCTGACTATCCGAAAACCCACTAATCGGAGACTTTCCTCACCGTTTTGTCGACGGGCTTCTAGTTCAGCTAGTGCCTTTTTCCTTTTTATTCTATCTTCAAGAGACATATCAGGTCTAACTGGGATGTCGGAATTGTCGTGACTACGAGCGCTACTTAACAGGAGATCACGTTGCTTCTCCGACCCTCGTAATACCTTAAGGAGTCTACGTGGGCGGGGTTCAACCTTGTCCTCGGTCCTTTTATTCATTCTGACCAGTTTTTTGACCTGAACTCTAAAGTTATCTGGTTAGATACTACGAATATTATTATTATTATTCACAGACATCTTATGGGTACATAAGTGTTGTGAAGAAACCATTTCGGGTTTCTTCAGAAATGCAACAATACACAAGTTTCAATAATGTTAGCATTATATTTGTCATATTTGAAAAAAGTGCGTAATAATAATAATAGAATAATAATGATAAATCAGGTTCTGTGTAGTTGAGAAGAATATTGAATTGAGTTTAAAGAAGGAAAGGAAGAAAATAAGGGAATAGAAATAAAGGAGACGTGAAATACGCAATTAGTTTAATAAGCGTGTTTATGAACACAGAACAAGAATAAACGACTATGTATGTATTGTCAAATTAGTAACAAAAATAAAATAGAAAATAATTAAGATGAAATAACTTATTATTGCAGTAAGATATGACGCTAGAATAAGTGATTGTGCAGTCATGGTTTGGAGTGATGCTATGAAAGTCTCAATTAAGTGAAAACGATAACGAAATATCAATATTTTCATAGTGAGGATAAAACGAGTCTGAGAAGTTAATTTAAATGTAACACAAGTTATTGTCTGAATCACAAACTTCGTAATCTTAAGAATAATATTTATTTAGGAAGAAAAAAAGAGAGAAAAGAAGTGGACACCTAGTGAAAAGGTTCAACCATGATAATAATAATTGTGTAATGAATATTGATCTCTGAAGTATACCAACAATTTAGAAGAATAGAATAAATCCTTAAGTGCACTCGAATAAATACATGTAGATTTATGTAATAATATACAGAGTGATATCGGATATTAATATAAGCATTTGTACAATAATAATTAAGAATGATGCCATGAAAGTCACAATTAATTTCAAGAGACAATCAGGAATTAAATATGTTTGAAAGGATAAGAAGAGATAAAAAGAATATCTAATGTGTCGTGGGAACAATAATGATATTAATAACAGTAATAATTATAGATACGAACATAAGCAGACCTCATATATTAAGATGGACAGAAAGAAAATAAAGTAAAATAGACTTCAAAAGTTTCAAAGGTTACATTTTGCTTTTCGTTCAATTAGATGGATGACGGACCTTGTTTGTATAAATCATTATTAAATACATTGACATTCAATAGGTGACACAAACCACTTTCGGAAAGAAAATCATCAGGGAGACTCCCGATACGGGTTGTAGTTACATTGCAATGGAGGTTCATTGGCAGTCTGTTCCACATCGTTAAGTAGCGAATAATGAAAAAATTCTGGCGTAAGTTTGTGTGAGTTCTTGGAATCACTAGAATATTTTCCTTATTACGCAGACTGTGGGATGATATCATAGAGTATGAAGGGGTGGATAACGAAGAGTAGGGAATACCGTTAATAAACCGGTGGATAAAGACAAGGTTTAATTTGATATGTCTGATCCAGAGAGGTTCTAATTTGCGTTGCCGACATCTTTGGTGATAGTCTATGTTGTCGAAATACCCCAGAACAGTGTTAGTGAACCTTCTATGAACACTCTCAATTTTAATCAGGTCATTATGCCTGCAATTACTGAAAACTAAAATACTATATTCAAGAATGAGTAAGACACATTTTTTGTACAATAATAATTTCGATTCGATCCATAGATGGGTTTAAAAGTTTCAAATAAAATAGTGGGAATTCTCTACTACCATATCTCACAAACGATGAAGGGATCCCGTCGAGTCCACCATCATAAGACTTTTTCAGGGCAGCTATGATCTGCTTGATTTTGGAGTGTATAAAATCAATTTTCGATAGGTGTCTGGATGTCAGCATTGATAATGTAATGATAGAGCTTTCACTTCCAGTTTTGTAGCATTGCGAGAAGTGTTTGCTGAATTGTTCGCAAATACTATTAGGGTCGTCAACAACGCTTCCGTTAACTATGAAGAATTTAGTCGTGCCAAAGGAATTTGACTTCACATGGGATTTAAAAAGCCGAAGTATTGATAATTCTGGGCGTTTACTACGTAGGGCTTTATTTTCTATATTCATGAAATATTCTCCCAGCTTCTCTAAATCATGCGTGTGTTTAATTTTGAGACCAGGATCGTTTGACTCCAGAAATTTGCTCACAATGATATTCGATGAGACTAGATTCTCCTTCTCAGTCCACAAATAGCCTACTAATCAGCTGCGTACTGCCTACAGCTTTTTTCTTTTCCTTTCGTTTTCTCCATACTGTAGTCCATTTCTCATCCCTCAGGACACTTGGACTATTTGGAACAGTGATGGGTTTATCCAGATCTTCAGTTTCCACTAGAGTGGCATGGTTACCGGTGTCAGTGTCAGGTGATACTACCGCCCCCTCGTTAAAGTTAACGGGGATTTCACTTTTCCGTCAGTCAAAGTCGGTTGTTTAAGGCGTCTCGTAACAGCAGGGACTACACTGACACATTCGTCACTGTCAGTCGTCGTGTTATCAGCGCATGGGCCATCGTCCTTCTTACAGGCCAAAGCCAATAGGCTCATAGCCTCCTGTATTAGTAACGTCTTATTTGCACAGCAAAACATGCAAAGCCAATGTGAGTTAGGCTTTTGTATGCGGTGGGACTCAAACGGGTGCATATCTTATGAAACCACTTTTTGCATTCATCACACTGCATTCCTTCCTCCACAGGAAACAAACAGTTTGGTTGTCCACATTTGTGAGTACTACCAACCATTCTAGTCAGATTAAGGTGTAAAACACAACGTGAACCCAGTACGAAGTGTCAGTCAACGAGTAAAAGGCTACCACAAAACAAACTTTAGCAAGATTTCAAATCTTAAACAAAGTACTTTTATTTAGGACAAGAATGCTTTTGATGCAATAATTACAAAAAAAAACAAGGATTGTCACAACAACTACAAAATCATTGCCCTTTTCGATACGCGCTCGAATTATAGCTGAGAGAAAAACTACCACTATCCTTTTTAAGTAGCTCAATCTAATGTGAAACCTCCTGTATATAAAAAAAATCTGAACATCAATCACAAGGATTCATCGACTGCTTACTTATGCTCAGCGAATTTGAAGTTGTGTGTCATTGTTTAGTTGTATTGTGACCAGGGTCATCTGAATAAGCGCATATTTGGGGATGCGAATTATGAGTGGGATGTTCTCAGGGATAAAACAGTTGGAGTGCAAACTGAAATCGCTTGACGAACTTGATTTCGAAGTAAATATTCGACGTTTTCACTATGTAGGATTTGAAGGCTTTAAAGGAAAAAGCTATTTGCTTACTAAAATATAATCAACAGTTAGAAAATATTATATCAAAGCTTCAAAAACAAGAAAGTGATGTCCCAAAAGTCATCAAACCTTTCATTTTTGACAGGTCAGTTTTCCATCTCAATCATTTGGTAGGTATAAGAAGCGCCATATTGCGCTAAAAGTATCGTATTTAGGCTGGAATTACGGTGGATTGGCTCCTCAAGGTTGTCTCGCACTAACCGTCATGGACCGCGTTTTCGACGCACTGGAAAAATCCAAACTCATTGAAAATAGGCACGTTTAATTTTATTTCATTTCAACAGAAACGAGTGCAATTTTTCAGTTTGTGGACGAACTGACAGAGGAGTTAGTGGGCTGTGCCAAGTAATTCAGCAATAATCAGTATTTATATTACTGCCGTTCAGGTTGTTTCTCTTGTTTCGCGTTCACTAATAGATAAAGGGGTCGGAATTATTGAAGATTCTGGTTCTCGTATCTCTGAGCGTCAGGGTTAGATAGTTTGACGACGTAGTATATGCTTCTGTAGATGTTCCTGACAAAGAAATGGACTACGTTTCTGCATTGAACAGAAATCTACCACGCGACATCCGAGTCCTAGCCTGGTCTCCCGTCTCACCAGACTTTAGTGCAAGGTAAACTAATTATTCCTCAAATTAATCTTGTAGGTTTATGTGTTGCAAAAGATCTTACGAATATTATTTTCCTGAAAGCGGTCTAGATATTAAAGTAAGTGGTTTTATACCGTCATATATTTGTTTAAAGTCAATGATGGACGCGGGTAATCGGCTCGTCGGAGTACATGATTTCAGGAACTTCTGTACTTCCCGAATCGAAAAAGATACTGTGACTTTCATACGTGAAATTTTCGAAGTGGTTATAAGCGATGTAGACTCGTGTGATCAGTAAGTTTCAAATTCTCCGGTTGCTTTCCCAATCTTTTTAGTAACTCGATTCAGTAGTATTACAACATGATGCTTTAATGTTGTCCAATCAATGAATGTCGTTTATTTCTTCTCATTGCTTTAGTTTGTGGCAAAGTTGAAGTAGTTTTTAATAGTGACCGCACGCGCTTGAGAAATGAGTTTGTACTGAAAGTCTTGATACGCCAACTTCATAGAAATTATTTTGGGCTATAATTCGCCCTTTATTGGTTAAATTGTATTATTGTTATGCTCCCACATAGCACTTGGCAGAAGTCAGAAGTGATGGATGGAGATGTAAACAGCTGTATACTGAAGTAGTTGAGATGTGTTGTATATGTCTAGCCGCCACCTACCTTATGCGTAATGTTGAAATAGAATTCAGTTTTAAAAAATCTATAAATAGCAAACTAGTTTTAGTGTTCATGTCCAATATGTGAATTGAATATTTTATTCGAATTCTGTGGTTTTGTATCGCTTGTTTCTTGGAGCTTGGTTGTTCCAATTTGTTTGGACTTACAAGTAAGGAAAAAGTAAACAACCAGTACTATTCTGATTTATTTAGTCGTTGTTCATGAGTGAATTATCCCTTAAGCACTTTAGTCTTTCATGGTTTGCAGTTAATTTAACGTCATTTACTACTATCTGTAAATACAACTAACACGGTCCACTTAGTGATTTTAGCGCCAAAACAATATCATGAAGAGATTTATGATAAAATGATCACAACCTTTTCATTTACACTTCCCAAGTCTAAGTTTCATTCGTCCTCATATAAAAACCGAACTCCCGTGAAATATTCTTAGCTTCTGAGGGTTCCCACTTTTATGTAACAGATAACTTAATTTTGCGAAAAACCAAACATTTTGTATATGTATCTAGATTTCGTCACTTGTCGACCGATTGTTATCGTATAATTCAATAAATTTTGGAGTAGTATTTTAGTAGTATCATTAAAAGTATACTCAAAATGGTCCAATATCGATTATTTATTTATTTATTTATTTGAACACATGAATATTGGTACAAGAGAGCGTCAATATATATGCGCCACACAAAACAATGAGAATTCGAAGAGAAATAGAAAAAAAAGATAAGGAGCGCAAAAAAAGAGAACAATAACGAGGAGATTAGTGTAAGGTAGTATGGTAGAAATGAGAGAACGGAAAGGTACAATCAGAAGAAATCTTTCAGGTAAGGGAGACACAACCACTTTTTATGAAGAAAGTAAAACAAGGTTACAGCAGGATCGCCACTGGCTTCTATTCTGAGCCATATCTGATAACGTCTCTAGCCACTGTGTAGCACCATCTCTCAGACCCCAACCAGGGAGTCGTGAAGGACCAACAGAAGCCAGTCCCTTGCAGCTTTCTTTCATACCACGACACCATGTCATGCACTGACCACCTCTGCGCTTCTTCCAACCAGTCCCAGAGTCGGCAAATAATGCACGACGTGGAATTCTCTGGGACGACATTCGAAGGACATGTCCAAGCCACCGAAGTCGGTGTTTCAAGATGGTGACACCAATTGAATTATCATCTCTGTGCCCGAACACACGATGCCGAACCTCTGCATTACTGACATGATGTTGCCACTGCATGTCAGCAATCCTTCGAAGACAGCGATGATCGAACACAGAAAGTCGTCTAACGTCCTCAACTCGGAGAGGCTAGGTTTCACAAGCATAGAGCAAAACTGCTCTCACCGACGCATTGTAGATCCGGCCTTTTACAGCCAGACTCACATCACGAAGGCGCCAAAGGTGGCCCAGATTGGCATAAGCCGCTCTGGCTTTCACTATTCGTGCATTGATCTCATCACTCACGCCACCACCAGTACTTATGCAGCTACCCAGATACACGAACTTCTCGACTACGTCTATCTGCTCACCACTCAGGGTGAGTGCAGGATCAGGATCCTGTCAGTCTTGTAAAAGTAGTTTGCATTTCGAAGGTGCAAAGCAGCTACCGTACCTACGGACACTGATTGCCAACCGATGAAGTGCAGATTGTATTGCCTGGGTACCATCGCATGTTAAGACAATATCGTCCGCATACTCAAGGTCGAGAAGTCTTTCTACAGGCAACAGATTCACACCACCATTACTTACATTCATCAGAGCTGTTTCCAGAATGTCATCGATGGCAAAGTTGAAGAGGAATGGTGAGATTGGGCAACCCTGCCTAGCCCCACTTCTCGAATGGAACGATGGAGAGAGGTGGTTGTATGCCCTCACTCTGCTCGAGGCGTTTTTATATATGGCTTTTAGGATGTTAATAAACTTCTCAGGCACACCCTTCTTCAATAGACAATCCCAGAGAACAGCCCTGATGTCAAGAAACACTACGATTGTTGGCGTTTGATAAGTATGGCGGTGTTCTAACATTTGGCGGAGGGTGAAGATATGATCAATACATCCTCGACCAGAACGAAGGCCAGCCTGCTCCTCGCGAGTCAATGTTTCTTGGGTTTTGAACATCCTACGAAGTATGACGGAAGCCAATAGCTTGGACGCAATTGGAAGTAGGCTTATCCCTCGATATTTGTTACAGAAACGACGTGAACTATTTTTAAAGATAGGGACAACTATCGACTCATTCCATGATGCTGGAACGCTTTCTAGCTCCCAGACCTTTGTAAACAACATTGTCAGTTCTTTAACCAGAAATTCACCACCATCTTTAAAAGGAGCCAGAGGTAAGTCATCTGGGCCCCGGTGATTTGTAACACTTCAAGAGTTGGAGTTCCTTGCGGACTTCCTCCTCCTTTGGTGGATCAGTCGTCACCAGTCATGGAGGGCAGGACAGTCTGACCGATGTTGCCGGAGCAGCAGGCCAGTTGAACTGCCCATCGTCCAAGACGTCGATGGATGTTAGTGATTGGCACCCCATCATCCTCACAGATTGTTTCACTCACACCAGACTTCTTGCTGCCAGTGGCTCGGACGAATTGGAAGAGCTTCCGGTAGTTACCAGATGCAGCTGCTGCTTCCAGCTCAGCACGCTCCGACCACCAGGCTTCTCGGTCCTTACGCAAGCTTTGCCCAATTTCACTACGTAACAACCTTCATTTGTGATCAAACTCACAGTCACCCAGAGTAGACCGACGGGCTTCAATGAGTTGTAAAGAACCTGCAGAAACCCAGTGTTCATAAGCGGGACGTTTCGCGAACCCACAACTGACTGTACCTGCCATTTTCATGGCGTCGTGCATTTGCAACCAATGCTCTATACTTTTCGGTGGAATGGTAGCTAGCCTAGAACCTATCTCGGTTCGATACTTGCAACACAAGTTGCAACCAGCTTGCTAATATCAATCCGTTGATGGCTGTCACTTCGTTGTCCACTGAAAAGTAAGGCAAGATTGGCGCAGACCAAGGCATGGTCAGAGTCCAGATAGGTACTCCAAAAGGAGCGGCAGTCTTGTACACAACCACGCCAGCGGTAGCTGATCGCGATGTGATCAATCTGAGTCCAGGCTTGAGATGCAGAGGGAGGACGTCAGGTGGCACATCGGCGATGACTGTGCCGAAAGTTACTGCTAGCCAGAAACAGGTTGTGGTCTGAGCAAAGTTGCAGTAGACAGTCCCCGTTATCTGACCTGCGACCAACGAGTCCCCATCGGTCACCTAAACGACTCTTCTGTGCCTAGACGCCCGACCTGAGCATTCAAGTCTCCGGCTAGTACCACAATATCTGTCGAACGCACTTTATGGAGAAGAACAGATAACTGGTTGTAAAACTCATCCTTGATTGCATCCGGGTTGCAATCTGTGAGGGCATAGGCGGAGATGACGAAAAGACATTGTTTCTCACGCTGATTTCTCCTCACTTTGATGGAACTCTCTAATCTAACAGCACATAACCGACTGTTAATGGGGATCCAATCGATTAGTGCTGCCTCAGCTCTAGCGCTTAGTGCGACACTAACGCCTGCAAGACCAGACGAAGGTGCCACAGGGTCCCCGGATAAGCGCACGTAAAACAAGCATTTTGAAGTGACAGATGTAGAGCGAATTTGTTGTACTTCGCCAGAGTCTTGAATACGGGTCTCGGATAGACAGCAGACATCGATATGAAGACTTTCCAAAGACATAGCCAGCCCTATCTGTTGTCCGACCTGCATAAATGTGCGAACGTTGAAGGCAGCCAGTTTAAATGGTGCACGTGGTTTCAGAAAAACTGCTTCAGTACTCATATACGGTGGTAACATACAATTTTCAACCGGACAGTGACTCGAGAACGTTTAGATACAGTCGAATTTCCACCAAAGACGAGCCGCTGTATAAGTATAAAAGAGGGTGAATAATGTGGAAAATAATAATAATAATAACAATAATAATAATAATGACAATAATGGTAATAATAATAATAGTATTGATAATGACAATAATTGTAATGATAATAATTTGAATAAATTGATTGTTTTTCGAAGCGAGAAAAGTAATTTCCATAGACATAGAGAGTTCATCACTTGTGTGTGGGCTGTGATACTGCCCGGGTGGTTTTCTTAGGGAGCCACACCCCGAGCCTTTGACCTAAAGGTCTAACCCACAAGGCAGTGGAGTATCATAAGGAGATGCAATCCCATGGTAGCCGGTGACCAACGAGCAGTTCATACGCCATTTGTTCCCTCGGGATACTGGAGCCCATGTGCAACATTAGTTTGGAATCCGGTTAAAGCGCCGGACATTCGCTTTTCGTCCTCTCATTTTCGTAAACAACACCCCCGCCACGAGAAAACAGTGAGTAGGACTTCCCTGGCAGAGGCTGTATACGCGCGGCCGTGTGAGGGTATTTCGAGAGGGAGAGAGGACTCTCCCCATTCTCGGCCGTACCAGGGCATCGATACATGTACCTGTAAATCAACTAACATATTTTCAATTCTACTTTAATAATAATATTAAATAAATAATTAATTAATTCTACTTTTTAGGCACTGCAAGTTATGTCGCATTAGCATATCGGCTTCGGGTTTCCTTTATCACCAAATACGGTATGTTATGTCCATCTTGTTTATGGTAGGAAGGGGTTATGAAAGTCCATCAGTAAGTTGATTCTTACACTAATTATTTACTTTTTATATGATTAATGAATGTTTAGTTTCAAGGACTATCAATCATGGTGATTTTGATTTTCTTTTTTCAATCTTGTGAATTTGTACTTAATTTGGTTTAAGTAATTGAATTCCAGACTCCCATAAAAATATATGCACAACTACGAGATTTAATATATTTGTCGGTATCCATTCATTAAACGAAGTTTATCAGAATTATGTGATATATTTGCGCATTACATTCCGAACAATCTGATCACATATACTTGTTAAGAACTTTTATATATAAAAATTAAAAGGTCAACTAGACAGGTTAAAGGTAAGCCGTAACAAATAAAAAATAAATAATATCAAAGTACACAAAAACAAATGTGATGACCACTCTGGATAATAAATCAGTATTACCAGGGTAGGTTAAGCGTAAGGACAAATTGATTTTGAACACATAAAGTGGGTTTCAGTTTCCGTAAAGCCAAGGCTTCAATGAACCTTAGTATACTTCCTTGAAGGCTTTTGTATAGCACTACAAATGCTGATTTGATGTCAACCTTATGACCAGTCTCAATCAAATGTTTCGCAATGGAGGATTATGTCTGTCTATCCTGTGATCTTATTTGACCATTGGGATCCATTTGTTTCTGCAACCATTTTGGTATGTGTTCGCCCATCCTTAGTTGCAAATCACGATTGCTCCTCCCTATGTACGTGTTTCCGTGCTGTTTGGGCTTTTGGTGAAACATAGACCTTGTCTTTCCGATAATGACAAGTTGAGCTGCATGAAATGTCCGGCTGATAGTTAATTTGAGTTTCCGTTTCAGTGTGAGACTATTTGTGTCGCCTATCCGAAATCAATATTGTAAGTATTCCTTGACTGACTCATTTAAATTAATTAAGTACCCAAAGGACATAAATATAAGGACAAAGACAATGTGCTCCTTTGATGTGAACACTTTATTTACAAATGTACCTATCAGGAAAACTATTGATATTTTGTGTGACTATATCTCTTTGAATAACCTTCCACTGCCATTTCCTGTTAACACTTAAAGATTTATTATTACTGTGTACAGATAATGTAAAATTCACTTTTAAAGGTGAGCACTTTCGGCAAATAGATGGTATAGTCATGGGTAGCCCTTTAGGATCATTACTGGCTGATATGTTGAGAATTTAGTTGAAGACTCAATTCAAAAGATGTGTCTGTATAAACGGTACGTTGATGACATCATAATTATAGGGGATAAATGGGAAGATGTAAACCGCTTGTTAAAAAACTCAAGACAAAAGTATAATTGTCTTACTTGCGAAGCGAAGAATAATTAACTTTTTTTTCTAGACATCCTGCTTAGTAGGAGGGATGATGATTCCATCTAATGTTCTATATATAGAAAGCCGGAAGGTTTGCAATACGGCTAGACCTATGACGCTTCTGGTACCCAAAAAGCGAGCTAACATTACGTTATTATTCAGAGGTGACACAAATAGTCTCACACTGAAACGGAAACTCAAATTAACTATCAGCCGGACATTTCATGCAGCTCAACTTGTCATTATCGGAAAGACAAGGTCTATGTTTCACCAAAAGCCCAAACAGCACGGAAACACGTACATAGGGAGGAGCAATCGTGATTTGCAACTAAGGATGGGCGAACACATACCAAAATGGTTGCAGAAACAAATGGATCCCAATGGTCAAATAAGATCACAGGATAGACAGACATAATCCTCCATTGCGAAACATTTGATTGAGACTGGTCATAAGGTTGACATCAAATCAGCATTTGTAGTGCTATACAAAAGCCTTCAAGGAAGTATACTAAGGTTCATTGAAGCCTTGGCTTTACGGAAACTGAAACCCACTTTATGTGTTCAAAATCAATTTGTCCTTACGCTTAACCTACCCTGGTAATACTGATTTATTATCCAGAGTGGTCATCACATTTGTTTTTGTGTACTTTGATATTATTTATTTTTTATTTGTTACGGCTTACCTTTAACCTGTCTAGTTGACCTTTTAATTTTTATATATAAAAGTTCTTAACAAGTATATGTGATCAGATTGTTCGGAATGTAATGCGCAAATATATCACATAATTCTGATAAACTCCGTATTCTCATTTATTAGTTATAACTCAGTAAACTTCATTAAACCAAATGATTCGTGGTCTGTTGACAGACAATAGTATCAACAAGTCGCGTAAAGTGTAATCAGTCGTGGACGTAAGATATCAGCTGTAAGGTCTTCCATTTGAAGCACGATTTCCTTGCGTTAATAGTGAGTAGATAAATAGAAATTAGTTTTTAAGAATTGTTTATACAAGATCGCTATTTGCTTCTCGACGCATAATAACTTGCTTAGTAATATATATGTAGATTATAATGGATCCAAGTATTAACTGATTTAAAACAAATTCAGTAAAACTAATGATATCATCACAATCGATGCAATGGCCTCGGGATTTCTATTTTTGGTTACTACTGTGCTCAGCATTTTCTCCATTCCATTTCATGTTGTGTCACTAGTCTTGAACTGTATACAGTGCCAGTTAAGTGCTATAGGCAAATAAATAACATGGATCCGACTATTTTTTATCTAATGGCTATTACCATTTGTATACTACATATCAACATTATGTGCCTGATTACTTTTCTGTTATCTGCTTTCCCGATCGTAGCTGCTACCTTGACGCGGTGGTCGGGCTTGCCTATCGTGATGACCCAACCGAGCTATATTGGCTGGAACATATGTTCCTGCAGGTTCTACCATGCCAGGCAGGTCGATTGGAGAACTGTAAGACTATAAGCAGCAACTCAAGGTCTGAGGGCGAAGTCGTACTGTTGACTGTAGAGGGGTGTGACAGCAGTAAGGTGTTTCCCTCGGACAACCAGCATCTACAGCGATGATGCCTTCTCACAAGGAGGGATGGGGTTAGAAAAGGTCGACCCTAAAAATGTCACACCTCACCTTACCTCACGGATTTCCGTCTCCGGCGGTGAGACCTTTTGAAGAACGGAGCTATCACCTCAAAAACCTCCCACAAAAAGACCGTGCGCGACCGGCCTAAAGCAGTTGTCTCTTGGGCTCTGCGGTCACGCTCCCAGGCCGTTAAGGCCAACATTAATCTAACTTCGTTTTCAGATTCCTCAAGAAATACCCTTCCACGGTGTGGGCAGCCGGGAAGTGACATCAGCCCTCATACCCGTAACAGCACACGAGACCAAGTTGGTCACATTCAAATCCTTCCTACACCTTCTAATACCATTCTTATCTCCCCGACTAACCCTTCTCACGTCCTTTTATCACCTCGCACCACTAGGGCAAACGATTCGAGTACGCGGAACGTTATTTCTGGTCCCCTGAAACCACGTTCCAAACTTCATGTTGGAGCTTATGACGTCCGAACGCTGTGCCAAATAGGACGAAAAGCTTCCTTAGCTAGAACATAAGGATCTCGCGCCATCGATGTGTGTTGCGTCTCCGAAACGCGCATTCATTTGACATCACCATGTCAAAACAAAGAACCAACTCGAGTCATGTTAGTAGGTGTAGACTACGTGGTTGTGGACCGCGAGATGATAGCAACCGATGGTCAGAGACCCTGAATGACATGGCTCAAAATCGTTTGCAATGGTGCAGGTGCATCCACTCTCTGTGTTCTCCCAAATTTTAAACTCCTGATTTCTCTTTGTCTCTTTTTCTTTCTCTTCCCAGATTTATTTCACTGGATTATACTCTTTAAATAACATCTCCAAACCCTAATCTTTCCGATTACTGCTTATACTCGTACTACCTCTACCACTACGAGATTTGAATCGACCACTGCATTTCTGTGCTAATGTGGTATGGAAACTCGAACTGGTGTACGTACGTACGAAGTTCTACGTTGTTACTGACTGACTGTTATCTGCTTTACGTAGTAGATCTGTATGATTAGTTGTTTTTACACTTCAAAAGAGGCATCATGCATAAAACAGTATGCATACAGCTGTAATCCTTAGAAGAACATATTCAACACTACTTGGGAATAACTTTTCGTTATGTTTAGTTAACATTTGTTTTTTCTACTGATAGACTAGGGATTTAAAAAAAAACATTGATTTCATTTTATATTAAAGGTTGTTGATGACATGTTGGATTTGAGTAAGACTCCCGCTAAACCTCATTATCACCTTGCAGCTGGTAAGTTTCTGAACAGTAATACATATCTCCCAAAGACTTCCCGTTGTTATTTATTGCTGGCACCTACCCAGAATCTTGTTTAAATTGGGAAACAAGTAAAGGTATGTGGATAATCACTTCACTCTACAATAAAATTTCTAGCTGCTCAACTAGATTTGGTCAAACATTATCAGAAATTGTGGTCAGAATACGGAATCCGGTAGAAATATTGTACTTTTCTTTAAACGATTTTTATCCAAATTATTTCCAGATCAGCTATTGTCAGAAGAATGTTGAACTATGTTGAAAGTATGTTTGCCTATCATTGTGTTCCATAACTACATGGATTCCCGCTCTTTTAATTAGCTTACTAGGATTCTTAATGAGGGTTTTGTATGAATTCAAGTAGTCATATTGTGTAGTCACTCATGCATAACATAATGCTTTGCAGGTGTTCGATATAAAAAAGTACAACGACCAAAGAGTCGATAGTTAGTTATGAGTACAAGTGTATTCGCCATTGTTTGTATATATTGCGCTCCCAAATCTGAGCATTCTCCTTCCAACTACAGGACTAATTATCGAAGCCACTCTCTGGTAACCTGATGTTAAGTACAAAGACAGTATCGCTTCTTTTCACACAAGTTTGTTATTAACTTGATTTTATCAGCATATAACTAGATCCAATATATTTCTTGTTACAGGTACCATTCCAAATAGCTCACTAATCAATCATCATTTGGATGAAATATCTCCAGAGGCTAAATTTATTAGCACTTTAGAACTGTCTAATAAGAAAACTGTAATTAAGAAGCTATCTACAAGACATGTGGAACTTACTGTGGATGAGAAAATCGAAAATTTACGTAAAAAGAGGAAAATAGACACGTGTATTTTGGAAAAACCCATAGAAACAGAATTTACTGAGCAGTGTACTTGAAAATCTCCTTAAACATGTATTACATTGAACAAGCCTTTTTTCTTCAAAATCATGGTGAAAAGGTTTATAAAGTCTCTGAAAAACATTAGAAATAGTAGGACCATCTACTGTTTATGACATTACACCCAAACAAGAGCATAATTGTTTCCTATCAATCAGTAAGTATTAAATGAGAAATAACCTGTGCTTGAAGCATTTTAACCTTCTGATGCTAATTAGATTTAGGTTTATATGAAATGGGATAACCTAGTAGGATCGGAGGGTAAACAGCAATCTGTAGTGTCAAACATATAGTTAAAGCAGGTCGTAGGATTAGTCTTAAATTAACTTTGTGATGTTTCATGAAAATGATCCAGAACCAATGATTACATTTGCTATAATCTTAACAATACTGAAATCCAAACCCTCCTGTGTGTTCAAAAATAATCAGTAGTGACAATAAACCTACTCTGATAATATTGATTTCACTTTACTTCACAGATTAGTGTAACTCATATACTCCTATTCGCTTAGTTCAGCCTTTATTTTTGTAAAAGCATTTCAGTCGCCCTTCACATTAGCCTAAACATAAACAGTCACATCAATAAAAATGGCGTTTCGATTGTTACAGGTTGATATACAATTTAAACTCAGTTATACCATACATAAGAAAAGAACACTCAAAATGAAATCGTTGTAGGTAATGTATATAGTAAACATGAAATATAACATCTGTTTTCAAATATTTATCACGTGGGAAAATGTGAAGTGATTTTGCTCTTTACTTATGAAATATATATGTATATTAGCTTAAAGAATCTCCTTGTTTTAGGATGAAAGTGAATGAGTGAGTGAGTATTTGTAAGTAAGAAGAAATAAAATATAAAAGCAAAGATGTCTTCATATACGTAGACGTAATTGATAAATGAAATATCACAATTTTACGAATATGTACATACAAAAGCACATATTATTTATCAATTCAATGTAATCATTTAACTTGTCATTATGGCAGGTTAACAAGCGAGTTTGCTGCCCCTCGATCACGATCAGTCCGTAACTATGAAATTAAAAGAAAACATTTCAGGAATTTGTATTATAAATGGTTTAAAATTGATCTCCAGGTACGAGATATATGGTTTAAAGGCTAGAACTCCGATATTTGGAAACAACTTTGTAGGTTATAACACTAAGCCACACCTGAGACGGTAGTTATACACGGCACCAAATAAATATATACATCCCGTAGTAAATGTAGATCTAATATAAATACTTAATAGACTACAAATCTTTGTCCAGAATTAATGCAGAATACAATTAGACTGATGATAGTCTAGTCATCCATAAGGAATAAGACAGTCCAATAATGGAAGCACAAAACTTAGCACTAGTATTCAGGATGCTTAATTTGTCGATAGTTTTATTTTTACCTGTCAATTTCTGGAGGCAGGAAAATATCTGATGAAACTAACTTGACTGACCAGATAAAAGTAGGTTGGAACCTGCGCGTAAGCAGCTGAAAGCAAAGCGCTTTAATCCTTACGCTACTGCTCATCTCTTCAGACAACGCGAAACCCAAGCTTCACTGAAAATATAATCGTCAAATAGCAATAAAATACGAAAATATACTGAGAAATTAAAGGTACATGAGCATTGAACAAATCTCAATGTCTTACTCGATCTAATGATGAACGGTGATGTCTTTTGCGATTTGGCTTCGTCCGATTACGTACAGATGTCATATCTAACTTAAGCAATGGGTTGTTCATAAACACATTCGCATCATCACTTCCTTGTTGACCTTTTATGATGGATGGATTTTTCACATTATTATCAGAATTCGGTGAATCACATCTCTTGTTTGACACTTCTGTATGTAACAAATAATGTGGAAGTCCATAGATAGAAGATGATCTCTGGCGCAAAACCCTGTCTTCTGCATTACTGGATTCAGGGTAAACATCATGTCTTAATTCGGGATCAGATGCTGTAACTGGAGAATGTGCACAGTCTGTGGAACTTTCATCATCTTCTAAATAACCATCATCTTCCAAAGATCTAAAGGAAGACAGACTGTATTTAGTAACGTGTGCAGATTTTTCAGATGCATTAACTACTGGGTCGAGATCACTATTCATCATTAAATTCCCTGTTTGACTGTTGTCATACGCTTGTAGACCATAATCAGATTTATATTTCCGTAAATGATTAGGGTGGACACCACTTATAATCAAATTGTTTAGAATTGGAGCACGATTTACATTACATAAGACGTCTGAATTTCGGTATGAATAACTGCTACCGACATTTAAAGATGAATCGTAACAATCACTTAGAAAACGTCGTCTACTCTTGGAAGACAGATTATTCTTCAAAAAGTCGAAAATATGCTTTTGTTCTTCCTTGCGATGTTGTTCATTTGAAGATGAAATTTTCGAACTGGATCCAGACTGTAAACAGTGATCAGTATCAAAATATCGTGATGTTGAATCTGAAACAACGGTGTGTGTAGATTTCGGAAATTTCCTTACAGCAGTTATACTGCTACCACTGGAAACAGTAGGATCGGTATAGGTAGGAATATCAGTTATAGTAATTTTAGTAGCTATATCAGGTAACTGAGGGAAATTTTGTACATTGGTACCATCTGTTCTATGGTACTTATCAGAACCTATTTTAAAAAAAAAAACAAATGGTGTGTTGTTAATTAAATTCAAAGCTTTTACTACTAGAACCAAAAAACCAAATACTATGTATAGTAACTGTAAAAGTCTTCTTTTGATTGCTTCAAGTACCAGATATGCAAACGCGTGTTTTATAAATTTTCAAAGGGTTAAACATTGTATTTATTAGCCGAATTATACCTATATATAATCGTTATTCTGGTCGTAGATTTTCTGCTGGACCTGTGAAACAAACTAAACCGTTATTTTTTAAATAACACCGTCTGATTGTAAGTCAATATCTCATTTATAAAGAATGGTAGACAACCAAAAAACTACCTAAGGCATCCTTTTCTTCTGCAGTTGGCATAATGACTATCTTTTGCCTTCTCCCTTGCTCTTTGTCTTCCCCTGAGTGGCGACGCAAATTACAATATGTTACACACTTATGTTATGTCGTACTTTGTTCATAAGTTCTCTTGTTAATGAGAGCGAAAACTGATACACTTTATTTGAAAACAAATATCCAAATGAATAGTATTCTATACATTAGTAAATACTGTGATTTACAGGTTGGGTTACATATAATAAGGTAAACTGTACACCGTAGAGAATTACTGTTGCATCTTCAAAAACCAATTTTGGGATTATACTGGGGTCAGCGTGATCAGACCATCTATTATTAATAACAGGTACACCCATATTTGGTTTGTAGGATCGATGATCTAGACTTTAACGCCTATCATTCCTCAAGCAACCTCTAACTCAGTGTTTATCCACTTATTCAAACACATAAATATTGGTACAAAGGGGCCACACAAGTCACTTGATTTGTCTGTGGGCTGTGATACTGCCCGGGTGTTCAGACCGAAGCAGGCAGTTTTGTTAGGCCACACCTCGAACCTTAGACCTAAAGGTCTGATCCACAAGGGCAGTGGAGCAACATCAGGAGATGCAATCCTATGGTAACCGGCAACCAACGATTGGTTCATACGCCAGGAGATCATGTGCACCATTGGTTTGGAATCAGAGTTTTCCAACTCCCTGGACATTCCCTTTAGTATTTTCAATTTCGTGAACAATACCGCCGCGAGGAGGCAGTGAGTGGGACATCCCTGGCAGTGGCTGTATACGCGTGGCCATGGGTGATAAAAAAGAAGGAAAAGGGAAGTAGTTTATAATAAATCTGAGACGGTTTATGTGTTAGACAACAGCTTGCAAGTAAGTAAATATAAAAATATAGTACTCCAAGTGTCTGATATAACTATCAGATACAACAAAGAATAGAAATAATTTCAAGTATAATAGATCTGACGGCTTAAATCCCCTTCAATTTAACAGCTACACAATCAGTTTACAAACCATACTGGCCTCATACCTATATACAAAACAGCGAGCCTTATCGTTCTTCCATTATCGACATGTTGAGGTTGCATATTTGCTAACCAAATCGATCTTAAACATTGTGAAAGACAATATTCACTACATAGTGTTCATTAATGAAGTAGTATAAATATATATTTGTACAATGACCATGTGAGCTCGAATCTCTAATATATTCAGAATGGATGTAATCCCTTTATCGATCAGTTTTCTACCTTACTGAGTAATTTCTCCACAGACAGATGGACTAGTATATCGTAAGTCATACGTCAACACTGTTATAATGATAGAACCAACATGTGAATAATTTGTGCAAATGCATAATTCACTCAAAAAATGAAGATAGAACTATCAGCTAACTGACTGAGTCAATGTTGAGGAAATCGAAGTTATCTTTTACATGTAGAGTATCAAAACAAGGTAGTTTGACTGTGAGTTATTAGGAAAACATTTGATCATCAATATTAGTGAACACCGTAAATAACTAATAATGCTGTGACTCTTTCTATTGTATCAAGTACTGTGTTACATCGTTGATTATCAAGTTGGTACTGGATACTGAGTTTACGTAAATGTAACCTTCAAATCAGTCTATTGTATCCCTTATTCTCAAGGATTCGATAATTCGCTGATTACATACATAACAGGGCCAATGAATTCATACACAAACACGTAAAATACATGTGAAAAATAATTTTGTACAATGTTATATAAACCGGTTACATTCATGATATAGACGATCAATTTAGATTTATACGCATAATATTTTAAAGCACTCAACTACAGTAACTAGCTAATTGAAGCAATCCTTCGTTACTATTACTTGGTCGTGATTTGATAACATACGATAATAACTTTACCCATAAATTCTGAGTAATCTATTAATCATTCGTTTTCGGAACTTGCACAAACTAATAACCATTATTACCCTTATTAATGTAAAATTAATAAGACTTTTCAAGAACCTACCACTGTTTTTCCATAAGAAACGTTATGAAACATAAATTAGCAGAGAAAAAACACCTACCTGAAGAATTCACACCTTTGGATGTTTTAGCTACACATTCAGCTAGATCAATGAATGTGGGCTGATCACTAAAACTCTGTAAGAAAAGAACAAGGATATATATATATATATATATATATATATATATATATATATATATATATATATATATATATATCAATTAGAAAGAGCAAAAAACAAAAATCTATCAATGGTCACAAAAGAATCTTATTTTAATCCACTGTATGATTCATTAAGATAATTAACGGATTATTCTCACATAAAAACCCTATTATCAGTGTTTTTAATAGTCAACGTAAGTTATTAGACTTGCAATAATAATGTAACCGCTTAAACTGCTAAGCATATCAGCGACACATATAGATAAAAAACAAAACGAAAAAGTGAAAATTATATTTGAAACAAATCTCAGCGATTGAAATTTAAATAATTCCAACGTTTCGTCCAGCTAACATATCTGGACTTCTTCAGGGTAATAATTAAAATCATCAAAGAAATATATAGCTGGACGAAACGTTGGAATTATTTAGATTTCAATCTCTGAGATTATTTCAAATATAATTTTCACATATAATGATTTCTCCATACTCGGCGCCTAATTTCTGTCAAACTATTCGTTCTAATCTTGACGAATATTCTTATAAAACGAAAAAGTGTTCAACTTACCGTATAAGCGAGAACATGAGTTTGTTAAAGTATATACAAAACAAACAGATTTTGAGCAATAGAACAAAAAGTTTGCGTTTGTCGTAAGGAAAGTGTAATTTTGTATATCAGACTAAGTGGTTAGAACACTTCATTTTTCTACTCCAAAGAAATGTTATTCGTTTTCTTAAACTTAAACGGGAAATACACCAGTACACTATTAAATCTTCAAAAATTAAACACGCTACATTTACCAGCTAATTTCGAAAATATTTAAGGAATTGTGAGGTCGAACATCTTTGAGGATCATTAATATTTATTTCTGCACCAGACAAAAACTAACAAAATTATCATACAATTGAAATACTTTGGGAATTATGAAGTAATATTTGTTAAACGTAACGTACAGAAAAAGATTTTGCTATGTAACAAGCTTTTTGAAAGTTAACACAAAAGAGCTTGGAAAGATATACTCATTTATTAGACCTGTAAGTTACTCGTCTTTTTTCCCTTTGTTTATAAATTTAAAGATTGTGAAGTATGTATAATCAATCTGATTTGCTAGTGTATATCACAAGAAACGTTTCGATTTTCCTATTATGGACTGAGACGATTCATTATTAAGACTAATCAGTCCCATTCATTGACGAACAAGGCAGAAAAAGAAACCAGTAGGAAACAACGAGACTTCCTGTTATTGTTAATTCAATTTTTTGAGATGATGTTACATATCCACACATACAGATTAAGATAATGTTTCCAAAATTGTAAGTCTGTAAAGTTGTATAGTTACCATATCTACATATTGTATCAGTTAGTAGGAGTAACTATACACAGCTTTAGAGATATTCTATTCATAAAAAAAGATAATCAATCTATAAAACTAGTCAATAGCAAAAATCGTATTTGTATAACAGAATGTATAACTCCACTGAAAATATCACCATTAATTTATTTGATAGCCGATAGATTTCTACTATGATCTACTCGACTGTTCAGTATGGATTTACAGAAAAATAAAGTTATAACCTTTTTGTTTCGAGAATTCTTCTAAAAATCAATTTTCTATAAATGAGCCAATGAAGATAATATACTAATCAACTACAAACATTTTACTACAAAATGAATTGTAGAAATAATTAAAAACATGTTAAATTATGTTACAATTATTTCAATCAAACCTATCAAATTAATCTGAACACATGACGGTACTATTATCAATATTTTCGAAGGATTCTTTTGATAGAATAGTTTAGTTCAACTGTTATGATGTGTATTGCGTTTCATATTAAAATATTTATTAAAGCAAAGTGTACTATATGAGAATAATAAGTGATGTATAATGATTTCAAATAGTAATTTAATTAAGTCATATACGATAAGATTTTAATTTATATTCTGGCATATAAAATACATTTTGAACAATAACAAATGATATAATAATGTACAAAAGTCGGTCTTTTTTCCGATATAAATCACATTATATCCCTTGATTTATGTAATTAAAAAAAAAGATTTTGACAACTGTGCTATAAAATAATGCATATATATGTTAAAGATCCAGTATTTTAATGTATAAGTGAATTATCAGTAGAAATATAGAACCAACATAAAAGAATATATCACATTTTACTAACCTGAGTTAACCAGTTATGAGTTGCTGTTGAATGAACTGGAGTTAACTGAGTAGTTGACGGATCTATCTCACATGTAGATATTTCAGTCAAAGAGGAAATATGTAGTTTCACACCTGGTATGAGATTTTGTAAACGACCTTCTTCGTGCCAAGTATTAAGTATATATTTAATGTAATCATAGCCAACATTCTATAAGAAAAATAAGCTAGTTAAATAATATTTTTTTAAAGATTTGATTCTTTCTTGTAATTTCATAGTAGTAGTAGTAGTAGAGTTCAAATGTGTTACATCACCTGATAGAAAAACTTTACTGAAAAGTTCTACTTGTTTCAACTGTATGTAGTCTTTTAATTATTGTATAACTTTAAATTCAATCACTAATTTTTTATTAATATAATTATTAATGACTATTTAGTATTATATTTTTGGTACAATATAGACTTATCAGCACAAGGTATTTTGATAAATTTCTTATGAAAAACAAAAGAAAAAACCGATAAATGTATAATTATAAATACATACATTCAATAAATAAACTATCCGGAATCAAAAGAAATGTTTTTTCTAAAATTTGGATCTCTACAACTTTTTCAATTAATTAAGAATACAATTTACTGACTAGGTCACCCTTAACAACCTGTTCATCACACAGTATATTTGCTAGATAAGGTATTGTAGAGCTTTATACCTTCATTTACGTGAGTGTATTCTAATGTATTGACGTCTCATTCTACCAGAAGATATACAAGGAGAAAGATATGAATGAAGTGAATAGTTAGTTTCTGATAATACAACATCTGTCAGAAGTTTGTACATTAGATGTCTATCCACAACCATATAATTAATGACTTTGAAATATTTGTTATACACCCTGCTAACTATCGTCAGCACTCTTCAATATAGCAAAGTGTTTTCTCAAAGCCTGAGACAGAAAGAATGCAGAACAGTAAAGAATAATAGGTAACATGCAATAGTTAACATATCGAAAGAGTAAATATCGAGTAATGACAAAAGCATGTAGCCTCTTTACGTAATAAGTCAGACGAAAAAATCACTCCAATAGCAATAAAAGATGAGAAGACCAAGAGAGATCAAAGGAAAAACTTATACCAAGATAGATGACCTTCGACATTGTATTTATTAAGGAATCTGCAACAGTACAAGTTTTACGGGATTCCAAAAGGGTGTTTAAGTGCTGTTCATGTTCCAGGCTAAAGTTAACAGTTTGATATTTAGACGGATTAAGTGTAAGACATCTAAATAATGTTAATTTTATCCGCTGCATATTTTCAGCAACCATGATGTCTCTGGTTGGGCTTTTTTGTAACTCGTACAGCGGAATGTTGTAAATTTTTCATAAGTGCACCTTAATGGGTTGTGCGATTAAGAAACATAATGATGTGCTAAAACAAGCAAAAACAAATAACTTGCTGAAATATCTAGAGAGGTAGCCCAGATATTCAAGAAGACCACCATTTATCTTGTTCGATCGTACTAACATTTTCGGTATGACATAAGTTGAGAAGGATTTCGTAAAGATGCTCGTGAGTGGGTGATATAGGACGTCAGCACACTTTTCAAAACGCAGGTTAAGGATTTCATCAGGCCATAAACATTGATATGAGTTGAATGACGGTGGACGTTTTCTGGCATCAGTTTCAGTGGAAATCGGAACTCAACCATTCTTCAAGCCTATGGATATCGGCAGCATGACATCAGTTGACTGAAGGGCAAAAGACTTATCTAAGTCACAGACATTCAGCTGAGTATCACCCCTAATGTGTCTTCCACCTGCAAGCTCTTTAAATAGTTTCCACAAACTTGAAGAGTTTTAACAAGGTAGGAGTTTTTGAGTAAACGAATGGTTCAGACGTCTAATGTTTAGACTTATTAGGACATTTATATTTCGAGCTTCCATGAAGTTTCCTCCCTGTACATTATATTTTTACCCTTCATAATCGTTTTAGTTGTGGAGATGTAAGTCGATCAAAACTTAGAAAGATGGTTTCAGTAGGACAACAAACATTAGGACAGAATTTCAGATAATAAGTGATAATATCAGTAGTTTTTTCCAGTGACTCATTTGTAAATAATTCCCAGTTAGTCGCACAAAACTTGGTTTCTAGATTTGGGATATTTTCTCCTGAGAAATTTCTGTATTTGACTTTTTTTGTCCGATGTAAGAGTGCGTTTTTTCCAAGCTTGCCATATGCTTTAGGTAGAACACGAATTATACAATGAAGAACGTTTACGGGTCACTTTTATCTCCACATAATTAATGAAAACTAAGTCTAAATGATTAGCTAAACGAGTGCGAAAACCTGCTACATTTTTGTGACCTAGTGACGAAAGGAAGCTACAGTCACACGAATTAAAATCAATACATACAATTCAAAGTGAACCACTAAAGGTAGTAACGGCGAATTTAGTGAATTTACTAGCGAAAACATATGGTGCACATGATGTGCAGTCTAGAGTCACGTGAATGTTGGTAACATGAACATGATTGTATTTAATCAAGTGTTTTGGACGGCATCTTAAAGTTACACAGTCAAAAAGGTCGTTTGAAAATTTAAAACACGCAAAAGTAGATCGATACCACTTCATATTTACGAATGAAGCTACACCGCCGCCACACATTTTTTTATTGCCTGAACGATCCTGACGATAAATATTGAAACCTCGCAGTGATAGTAAACAACAGATTTATTTTCTTACGATGAATCAGTTGGG